ACGACGAGATCTACAATTTCCATGTAAAAGTTTATCGCTAGCGTCAATAGTTAACAAGTAATTTGCAAAAAACTGCTTTTTCGTTTTTCGTCAATAACTCGTTAACTATTGACGCTAGCGATAAACTTTTACATGGAAATTGTAGATCTCGTCGTTCTCTACAAGAAAGGTCATATGCAATTTTTCCGTATGTCCAACGGTTTGGGAGTTATTGGCCAAAAACGAAAATTTGGAAGAAATTGAAGGGGTACCCCTTGGAAAAATCTCGGAAAAATTGAAAATTTTTTTTTGTTGTTTATTATTAGCAATGTTCTTCCGACGTCTGATTTCTTTTTAAAAAATGCGTTTCTAAAGTGCATAAACTTTTGGGATTGACTGTATAGCCAATACATCCTTAACTATGCCACAATACTCGTAAGCTATTTGTTATATTTTAATTTTTATAAAGATACTAGCATCTCCCGTTGCATCTCAACTATAAAAAGTATTTCTCCTTGAGATTTTTTTAAGGACTTCACCGATTTTTATGAAATATTATGATAAGCACAGAATGCTATAGACCAAATAAAAAAAGCTACTGTTGAGGATATTGCCTTTGTCTATGTTCCACTATTTCTTCCTGGAAGAAGTTTCCATTTGTTTGTGACTTCTACTCATTGTATAATCGATCAATCTTTCCATGAAGATTACAACTACTACGCTTCTCTTGTCAACTTGTCATTGGACAATTGGTCTTTGAGTTAGAGCTGCAGCAAATTTGAAAAACAGTTTCGAGAAAAACGCGTTGAAGTATTAACTATTACATTATTACTTATATTAATACTATTAGAAGGCTGCCACTCGAAAACTAGTTGAGATCTAACCTTTAGATTTTGCTATTTTTGAAGGTATAAACTTTCGAAAAAAGAAAAAAATCGATTTTTTGAAAATTCCACACTGGGTAGGCCTCTTAAACATTTCTTTCCTCTTCTAAATATTATAAATTGTATTTCACTTTTGGATATTTTGCATTTATTTACAAATTATTGTATGCCACGTCTCATTACATTAATGAAAATTCCCATGAACCCATAAACAACGACAGTCTAATAATTATTTACTATATAGATATTAACATTACGTACCAGGAAAAGCTCGCACCACCGTCAGACGACAAACGCCGTTTCGATAATGAATTTCGTAGCTCGTCGAATTTTCGATGATCCTGCCGTCCTTCGACCAAAGGATGTTCGGTTGCGGTTCGGCTTGGACGATGCACTCGAATCTCGCCGTTTGTCCGCTCACCACCGCGATGTCTCTCAGAGGCTAAAATTCCCATGCAGCTTTTAAATAACTGATGCAAATTAAAATTGTAACAGTTCCTTAAGGATCGTTACCGTGATGAAAATGGGAGCTTTTTTCGGAAGCACTTCCAAGTAAGGCTGAATCACTTCTTTACTCGACGTCACCCCGTTGGTTGTCGGCCACGGTGATCCTAGAATAATCAGCTCGATTTAACTTGACTGATTCGAACGCCTTCGAGTTTCGTGGAATCGAAAAGAGTGTGTTCGTCGTGTTCAAGGAAATTGAAAGCACAGAAAACTCAGAGGCAATAAACAAGAATTGCTTGAAGCAAAGCAGGAACCTTTCATATTTCAAAAGAGGAAATCGAAGTGGTACAGATATAATTGATAACAAAGTGCCAAACAAACACTGAAAATTTCAACAGTAAGGAAACAAGAGAAACGAGAAATCAAAGCAACACTCATATAAAAGTAATCACACCAAGAAAAATGAACGTAATTCTCCCTTTTTTCTCAGCACAAAATATACGAAGGTATCAAAAACGTCCTATATGTATAATTTCTGTGAAAATCAATCTTCCAAAAACGGACAGCCCCATACCATAAGAAAACGTAATAAAGCCGAAAGCAGACGTGCAGTGGGTGCACAAATAAACATAAAGCTGTTGGTAGACCATAAAGAGATGAAACGACGTGAGAGAGAGAGAGAGAGAGAGCAATGCCGAAGCAGGTGAATACCTGCGGAGTCGACGTTGCTGGGTGGTCCTGTGGCACTACTGTATCTGGGAGATAGGCTCGGTAAGCTTGGGCTCAGGGAAAGCGGACTGGGCGTCGTGTGATCCCATCTGGACGGCGACGGTGAACAGGGTATGACGAGGCTGGGTGGTGTCATCGCGGTACCACCCTCCGAGTGCCTCTTTCTCGCGTTTCGGACGTCCTCCGCTTCGGAGAACTCGCTCTCCGACGTTGGCTCCCACTTGACCGTCTTCGAACCACCGAATTTGCCCGCCGGTTTGCTCTGCCGCGTGGAGGCCGCGGTGGTCCCACCGCTTCTCTTCGCGAAACCATTCTCCCTCCGGGTCGTGAACTCGTGCACGATGGGCACCTCGATATCGCTGGCTCGCCGTTGACCGTGAATACTCCTACTCGTGCTGCTCACCGTTTTCTTCCCTTCCCCGGGCAACACGATTCCAAACTCGTACCCGAAGTCGTACTTGAAGTATATCAGTCCGGTGTCTGGATCGATGTGCTTCGTTCCTGCATTTTTTTGCGATTTTTCTTTTTTACATCGATGAGTTCGCCTTTATAAATTATCCTCGATCGAGGAAACATAGCTGGGATTTTTATAGTATCTTTTATATTATCGTTAAAAAATATGTTAGCTAATTTATGTAGAAAGTTTAACATTAAAAGACCACATTTCGTATATCATTATACTGTCTTCATTTTACAAATATATTTTTCCGATATCATTTTTGCGATAAGGAAATCTGCCCTCCTATTATATTTGAAAATAATTTATGCGCATTGTTTAATGGCAAGGAGTTCTGTTTTTAATACCAGCCAATGTAAATGATTTTTGGCACTGTGGAATTGAATTACCATGTTCCGAGTGACGTGACTCCTCTCTGTACGTTCTGGGCTCGTCGCCGTCGCTGGCACGGGTGTCGGTCGGATGTTTCAGGATCGGCTTGCCCTGCTTCAAATCCGACTGGATGTCGCTGACGAATTTCTCGGTTTTCGTTTTGAAGCTGCTGGTCATGTCGCTCATGTGACGCGACGCGACGTCTGCGGATGTTTCAGATTTTTCGTGTTACGGGACAAGAAGACAAGCTCGGCCAGAGATAGTATTTAACTTTTCTTTTTTTTTTTTAGCAAGCGCAGAGAAAGAGAAACTGTTAGAACAGAAGATGACACCGTTGACAATTCGTTTCCGAGTGAAATGTGGAAATCCGGCAGAGATGTTAATAACAGTAGACAGTGCAACCGAATCCTTTTTTATATTACAACAGTTATTAAAGTTAAACATGTTGAATTTGTGATTTGAAAACGAGATCTAAATCCTTTTACCGTATCTTTTTATATTGTCCATTTTATCTATTTTCCTGTGACCCATAGTATTTATTGTTCTGTTTTGACCTATTTTCATAAAAAGCTGCAGATATGTAAAAGCTAGGGTAATCACATGACTTTTCTGACATTTGTCGTTCTTTACTCTGTTTTACAAATAACGAAAAATAGTTCAAAATATGACTTTACGCCATTCGATTCTATATCTTCATTTTTCAGAGAATCAAGATAAAATTCGTTTTAGTGTTTAAATTAAAGTACACCTTAAGGCGCTCTGGTTCTTATTTTATTCAGAACAATGTCTTTTAGTATAAAATGTTTAAAATCCAAAGCTCAGTAATTACAATTTTTGCTGCACATTGTAACATTTATTTTATTAAGTATTTGCATAATCTCACTGAATAATGACCAGAGCGCCTTAGAATGTATTCCGAACTACACATTGAAACGAATTCGAGACATCAACGAGATTCTTACGATTGGCAGCTTTCTTCACGTCGCTCCTCGAAATAAACCCGAACTCTGGCGGCGAGCCAGGCTTCAGCACCTCTTGCCTGGAGTCAACTTCCTTCTTCTCCATCTTCCTAACCCTTTCATCACGTAGCTGCGTCATCGAGGTCTGTCTCTTGATCACCGGCGGCCCTCTGTCGAATTCCAACGGGCTCACCACGTGCTCCTGTCTAACAGGAGCGCTGGCCGACCTGGGCGCCTTCATCGTGGGCGGTTGCACCTTCCTATATCTCGGCTCCTCGGTATCACTGTCCGCTGGTGCCCACTTTGGTTTGATTCTAGTATCGACGTCGCTCTCATAATCCGATTCCCTGAACTGGCCTTGGACGAATTTTTTCGGGGTGGGCACCGTGAACGAGGTCTTCTGCTTCTGTGCAGCGTCGAAACTAGAAAAATCGATGGACGGCTTTTGGTCGCCGAATTTGATTACACGGCTGGTTTGCTCGACGGTGACGATTCGTCTACTGTTCTCGGTGGACTCGTCCATCCTGACGGTCTTCTTCGTCTCTGTACCAATCGCATTGTGGAAGGGCACACCGGATCGGGCTTCGTAGTACGTTGGTTGTGGTTGTGGCTGTGGCGGTGGCGCATACGCGATTTCCGGTGGTGAACCGGGCAGAAGAACGGTTTTCTGCTTTGTGGGGGTCGCCGCTGCGACCCTGTCCTCCCTTTTCTCCAACTCCTTGATCAGCGGCGTTCGTGGCTCCTTCGGCTTTCCTATTGGTAGAAAATAGGCCCGGACGACCGCCGATCAGTGACCGAATCTGGCGTCGAAGAAAGCGGACAGACGTCGGTTTCACGCGTCGTTGAACGATTCTACTTGATCCAATCTTATCCATTTTTGCCGTTTTGCGATTCCTTTCTCTCGCGTTTCACTAATGTTGCAATGTGTTTTTACAAATGTTTGAGAACGAAGGTGAAACCAGCGTGTAATAACAAAGAGGTGAAGAAAAAGAAGAAGAGATAGCAGAAGTGAATGGAAAATGGAGGCGGTTAGCCACGAAGAATGGGAGAAAAACGAGTCGGTGAAAAAGCCTGGGGGAAAATCAGAGTACGTACTTCGAGTGGCCGAGAAGAAAAGAGAGAAGCAAGCGAAGCGGGAAGAGAGGAGAACTTATCTTGCGAGGTAAACAACGAGAAGGGAAGAAAGCTTGCCAGGAGTACTACTTGTTGTAAGCTGGAAAAATATAGTATAAAGTGAGAGACCCATCGATGTATGCCACGCGGGCCAATCGGCCCGCCGGCGCTGTTGGAAAGCAATTTTTACATTTTTATTCACATCCCCCTCCCCCATTGGCATTTACCCTTCACCGTTTTTAAAAAATAGCAACATTGTACTGTGTAGATTTTTTGACAATTAATGCACGTGTAATTATGCGCAAGAGTGTATGTATATAAAATTTACATTTTTAATTTCATCTACTACTTACAAAAGATCATGTATGTATATTGACTACTTTAGTTAAGTGCCGTTTGGATTTTGTAAATACCTGAACTAGCGAGATGAGGTTTCACGGGTCTGAATGACTGGTCGTCGCTCTCGTAGCCTCGCGGTTTCCAAAGCGGTGGTATTCTGCCGTCGTAGTCGCTCTCATAGTCGCTTTCGCGAAATTCGCCCTTTACGAATTTGGAAGGACTCGGAGAGGGCGGCAGGATCTTCTTCGTAGTATCAATCTTCTTCTGCGACTGATCCGCTACATAAATAGTTTCCTAGAGACCAATTAAGAAAATTGTTTTAAAGAATGTAATTATGTAGCGTATGCAAAACACAATTATTACATATGTATAAGGCTGCAGATCTTCTAACGATTAAATTTTAATCGATAATTAGAATATTTTTTTTAATTAGGAATGAATATACATATAATCGTTAATTCGAGTTTCTTGGAATTAAGAATTTCAACTTGGTCACTTATTGAGATTTTTTCTAATTAAGAATTGAAATTTATTCGTTAAATACTATTCACTAATTTTCTATTCTGTTACTAATTATCCTAGACTCGTCAGAACTTTACTATTTCTCTGCATTATACATTCCTGTTCTAATAAAAAAATTTCTAAGTTTTGGCGAACTAATTTTTAGACGATAATAATACGTCCGAAAACGCATTTAGATCGTGTCCTACAAATTTAAAAATCCAGGCACGAACTACGTACAAATAAGCGTTAACAAAAACAATACTCTGGCACACTAAAACTAAGAAAATCAATTGTTAGATGCGTCACTCAAATCAATTAAACAAACGAGAGGGCCGGGCGATCAGATTTTCCTCTTTTCAAGCAACAAGCGACGCACAACACACACTCGAACCTTCGTGGTGGCGAATCTCGACGGTGCTGCGTAACTTTTCTCCATATAAGAACTGCGTTGTTGTTGAACCGTTGGTTGTTTTACAATCGCTGGAGCGCTCGGCACAAATTCCTTCCTTTGTTGCTGTTGCTGTTGTTGCTGTTGCTGTTGCTGCTGTTGGCGAGAGTCATAGCTCTTGCTCTGGAAGAACTCTGATCGGCTCTCCGAGTGCCATGAACTGCGGGACTCGACGTGAGACGTCGACATAGACTCATGCTTGCCGAAGCTTTTCTGCATTGACTGCATCGAACTCTTTTGTTGGAAAGGCTCATCCGTATCTGCCATGTAGCCACTCTCCTGTTGGAAAGTCTTCACCTTGAATTTTGGAGACTCTGGCTTCTTAATTGGCGGACTCTTCGGCGTCGGGCTTTTCACAGGTGGAGCTTGAACATAAATTGGCGGCGAGCCAGGCTTCAACTCAATAGTGGGCGTCGTTGGAGCAGGCTGATATTTCTGTTGCTTTATCTCCTTCTCCTGTCTCTTATAACTTGTAGTCTTCTTGCAAATTTTTTCCTGCTGTTCCCTGGTGATCACGGGTCTAGCTATGCCTCCGGTGGTCGGAGGAACCTCGAATTTGGACGGTGGGAGTGGTTCGGGCTCGGTGGATCTGGGTCTAGTCGGTTGCTTCGGCGTAGGTGGCTGAACTCTTCTGTAACGAGGCTCGTCGCCATCACTCTCATACGGTCTCCACTTTGCCTTCAAGTGACCATCCATGTCTGATTCATAGTCACTCTCCTGGGTGAAGCTTCCCTTAACGAACTTCGTTGGAGTCGGTGGCGGCGGCACTTTCTGTACTTTTACTGGTGGCGCCGGCGTAGCTTTGAAAGGAAACGGCTCCATTCGTTCCACAGGTGTCGGTTGCTTGGCTGGAAGAGGTGGAGGAGTGATTTTAACGTCCTTCGGTGGTAGAGCTGGAGGCTCTTCCTTCTTCGGCATTTGTGGAATTCGAACGGCTCCTGGTGGAATCTTGGCTGGCTGATAGTCCATAGACACTTCAAAACTCTTCTCTATCTTCTTCTCTCTAACCATAGGCGCTGGGATGTATCCAATTTCTGGAGGTGGACCAGGTTCCAAGATGATTTCAGCGGATGGAGGTGGTTCAGTGCGATGATATAACTGAACTACAGGTTTCTTAGGCGTTTCGATGCTCCTGACTAACCCAGGAGCTTTCAAGTCTTCAGATCCTGTCCACTTCTTCGAACTATATTCTTCAATTTTTTCCGATTGTTCCATTTTCTTCACGTCGCACTCACTGACGTATTTTTCATATAGAGACTTCTCTTCTAGCTTATTTATTTTTTGATCTACCTTAATCGTCTCAGCCTTGTAAATGATTGGCTGCACTTTTGGTGGCGAGGGAGCTCTCTTCATGAGCTTCTCTGTCGACTCCTGCTTCGAGCTCCACGAACGTCTTTCGGTCGTAGTAGAAGATTCCATACTCGTCTTCTTTATACCTTCCGGCGTTTCTTGTACTTCCCTCTTTACTTCCTTAGTGGAAGTCTTGAAATCTTCTCCAGGAACTTGCCACTCGTGCTTGAACTTCGTCTCCTCTTGCGGTGGCCAAGACTTTCTAGTGGAATCGGCGCATTTCTTGGCCCAAGATTTTTCCATTGCCAATGCATCAGCCGACGGCCGAGGTGACGTAGCTCTTAGAATCTCTTGATGACTCGACGCCGCTGAGTGACACCTGTACTCTGACAAATCCGTGGACACGTGCGATCTGGTCTCGACATCTGACGACGAAGACCAAGGTCTGCTCGGTGACGCAGCTCTAATTGACGATAAATAATCCTTCTTCTCGTGGACTTCCCTCTTAATGCACGGTTCTTCGACTACTTCTTTCTTGTCGAGCGAGAACGGCGGGGGTGGCATGGAGAATGTCGGGGCCGTCTTAGGTGTCTCTATAATTTTTGGAGAAGGCGTCGGGAAAATTTTCACACCACCAATGGGAGCGTCGATCGGGGACAGGGTTTTGTCAAACGATTCTTGTAACTGTTTGGCTTTGATGGACACCTCAGGGCGTTTTTTTTTAATCTCCTCCGGCTTCGGCATGTAACCAATCTCCGGCGGAGGCTCTGGTACCAATTTGAAACCCTCCAGTACTATCTCTTCCGATTTGCTTTCCATCTTACTTTCCATTTTTGACGTCATTACCGATGATGTACCAGACGTTTCTTCAATAATTGTCTTCTTCGTTTCTACGGACGGTTTGTACGGCTCGTAAGGGAAGTTAAATAATTTATTATCCACGCCGCGATTAGCCGTACTTCCCTGCTCCAGTTTACTGAAAATCTCATGAACGGCCTTTTTGGTAGTTTGTATCTCAGGAGGCTTCGTTTCCGGCTTCTTCACCTCCTGATATGTAGTCGATCTCTCGTAATTCTTAGTTAATTTGCCCACCTTCACCTCGTGGCCTTCGGCATCGTCCACTAGCTTGATCATCTCTTTCGGCCCCTTCGGAATCGTTTCCGTTTCCTTTGTCATCGATTCAAAGAAACTAAGCGCGTCTTTCTTGGCTATTCTCGATGTCTCTACATTCTCATTCTCAATCTTCTCTTCTTCAATCACTGTAGCTTTCGGCTCGGCTCTCCTTTTCTCCAGTTCTTCGCGAACCACATCTCTTATTACCGTCTTCTCTTCCTTCTTCGGTTCCACCACGCTAGGTGTTTTGTGCTCCAATTTCATGTGGAATTTCTGTTCCGATTTCGTTTCCATTTGACGAGACTCAATCGTGGATGAGATCGTCTCCGATCGACTCATCTTGGTCTCTGGTTCTTCTATTTTCTCTACGGTCTTTGACGTTTGAGACATCGAAGTGGATGTGACGAACGGAGTCGTTTTTATTGGAGGAATCGGTTGAATCGTAGTGATCGGTATTTTCTCGGTCGGTTTACTATAAGGAACCTCGCCCTTCTTCTCGTCGGACTAGATATTAATATACAATTCTTTATATCTCATATTTGATAAATACAAACTTATTATAAATCTTATTACAAACACAATGCTTTATATTTTCATATTTAATGAATATAAATTTGTTATAAATACTATTAAAATAAATAATCTATTAATTTGTGAATTTTTTATATACATCATAACTTCTATAATGATTATTGAGGTGTTAATTTCTTTTTTCAAGAATTGATGGATATTGAGATTGATGAGACAGTGATTACCTGTATAACTTTCTTGTCCTGCGCGGTTTCATAAACGACAGTCTTGTGAACCTCCATCATCGTTTCGGGGGTTGGTTCGAATACAGCGAAATCGGCTATGCTTTGAGCTTCGCCACCAGCGTTCGTTGCCCTGACCATGTACTTCCCAGCATGCTCCTTCTCAGCTGTGACACAATTAAAAATAATTATAAATGCATTGTTAAATACAAAACAAATTGAAAAATACCTTTTTCAATAATCAGCATGTAACAGTTTCCTTGCTGCTTGATTCTCAGTTGTGGGGGACGTTCTTTAATTGGTAAGTCGTCCTTGAACCAAGTGACAGTAGGTTCAGGTGTACCCGTGATTTCTACTTCCATGTTGACGCGATCTCCACGTTTCACGACTTGAGCTTGTAGTCTTCTGCCGAACACCGGTGGGAATATCGTTTCTGAAATAAAGAAACGAAATTGTATAGTAATATCTTTATTTCAGTGTCATCTCTAAGTGCCTTAGAGAACTGTTTTATACGTAAACCTTACTTACTATGAAGAGAAGTAATAAAGAAACATAAAATTTACTGTTTTTCTTTAAAAGCCTGTAAATTAAAAACACGTAATAATTATTTACTTTTAACAACAAGATCAGCTGTGCTACTGGCAGAACCGGCTTCATTGTTCGCTGAACAAGTATATCGTCCAGCATCCTTGACATTCACGTTCTTCAATTCCAAGCGGACGTGATTGTGCGCGTAAGTGATCTTCATACCATCCTTCGATTTCAGTTCTTGTCCGTTCTTCGACCAGCTGATCGTTGGCTGAGGGAATCCTACGTAAAATGTACTTAGCTATTACAAAATGTTACAAGAAGTAAAAGAAAAATCACTTAATTATGTTTTCTCTTACCATCGATGATTCCTTCGAGGACAATGTCAGTACCCTGATCCACAATCATCCCTGTAATCGGTGAGACGAATCTTGGTGCCGTCGATTTTCTAGTCGGTTTCGATACTGGAGCTGTTTTTACATCTCGTTTAACGCCTTCTTCGTCCTGGGACACGATCACTGTTTTCTCTTGACGAATCTCGCCTGGCTGATCTTGGATTATCTTCTCGTGTTCCTCCACTTTATACGACTGGATAAAATGTAATAATAGTTATTTTCGTCATATTATTTTAAAACGAATGTTATAAATCCTACTTTACTTTAGATATTTTGTATACCTTTACATATCCTTAATTTTTGTCTGCCAAATTTTTAATTAAACGAAAAATGAACAAACCTGGACGACAGGAGGTGTCCCGTCCTGCGAAGACGCCTGTTCCGTGCTGTGAATAACAGTCTTCACGCACACGCTGCTGGGTTCCTGTCCAGGCGTTTGAGACGTCGAAGACATCGCCGACGACATGTATTCCTTCTTCGTGGTCTTATGCGTGGTGGACGATTCAGTGATGATCTCCGACAACTTCGTCATCGTTTTAGTCTCACCGTCACCCTCGGACTTTTCCGAGGTGAAGTGTTTGTCGCTGCTGCTAGCCGCGTGCATCTCGACTACCGGTGACACTTCGACTAGATCTAGTACCCTCTCTGTGATCTCCTCGACTCTCTTCTCCCCCGGCCAGTCACCTGCGATGATTAATTAGGATATTGTTAGCGGTGACAGCCTTTTTTTATAGCTTGCTGTCTCTTTAATTGGTAAATGAATTCAACGAAAAACTTCTTAGTGTGCAAACATATAAATGGGTATATGTATGCTCAGGTATTTTGAGCACTATTAATTATATGAAAAGCATTTCTCATTTTTGAATGAAATATGCTACAGAATGCATAGGCAATATC